TAGTTTATGAGGCTAGTCTAGGCAACATAAGACGCCACACACACACACACACACAAATTTTTCAACAGAAAACAAATGCTCTTGCATCCTAAATCCATTTTAAATGTAAGCATTCACAATTAACACTCACACATAAAGTAATAAAAGGGTATGCCAGGCTCTTACCAGCAATGAGAGAGATAAAAGCCACCAGGAGACCCTGAACACTCAGGCATGTGACCCTTCTTGAGAAATGAGTTGATAATAGGGGGTCCTTCCAGTCTTAAGCCACTCCCTTCTAGTTTACATGGTGCAATAGATCCTTTCTAGAAATCCATAACAAAATTATAGTACATTGCCAGGCAGTTGGTGACACACGCCTTGAAGAAATGGCTCAGCTGTTAAGAGCACTGGCTACTCAATTCCCAGCATCCACGTTAGCTCACACCTGTCTGTAACTCCAATGCACATAAAATAAAAATAAATAATTAAAAAACAAAAACAAAACAGGGTCTCACTATGTAATTCAGACTGGCCTTAAGCTCAGAGATCCATCTGCCTCTGCCTCCAGTGCTGGGACTCGAGGGTGTCGCCATGCCCAAGGAAGCCTTCACTTTTTGAAACTCTTTCCAAATGTTTGCAACTCTTTCTGTTATAGAAGCATATCAATAGTTCCCTACCCCAATTCACCACAGATCTCCCAATGGAGAAAGTATGATGGAGAACTACAGATATCATAATCTCTGAACCTTAATAAAACATATTGTGAAAGATACACTCGGAGATGAACATTCTTAAAAAGGCAAAACAAAACGAAACATAGTCAACAGGGACCCTAAGTTACCAGAAAACCAACCTTAAATTCTACCAAGATGTTCAATCACCTCCAAGCCAGTGGCCTTCACTTTTCAGAGTTGTTCCATTTTTAGACAGGGTCTCATTTCATTTTACCCCAGGCTGGCCTCAAACACAGTGCATAGCTGAAAATGATCCTCAAGTTTCTTATACATAACTATGTCATGGGTTCAGGTGTTTTGCTTGCATGTATGTCTATGCAGCACCTGTGTAGCTGGTGCCTGCAGAAGCCAGAGAGGGCTCGAGTTATAGATGGCTTCAAGCTAACATATGAATGCTGGATGTCAAATCCAGGTCCTCTGGAAGAACTCTTAACCACTGAGCCATCTTTCCAGCCACAACCTTTAACTTCTGATCCTCCTGCCTCTGACCTCCCAAAGGTGTGCGGCACTATACCTATGTGGCGGCAGAATATGAGGCTCATGTGTACCAAGTCACTGCACCAACTGAGCTACATCACTAACCCTGTCTTTAAAAGACTGAATTGTATGGGTATTCGTGGTTTGAATGCATGTACAAGCAAGCACCATGTACCTGCCTGGTGCCCACAGAGGCAGAAGACATTGGATACCCTGGATCTGAAGTTGAGGACAGTTTTGGGTGGGTGCTAGGAACCAAATTTGGATCCTTCTTCGAGAGCAAGTGCTCTTTTTTTTTTTTAAAGATTTATTTATTATGTACACAGCATTCTCCTTGCATATATGCCTGCAGGCCAGACAGGGCACCAGATCTCATTACAGATGGTTATGAGCCACCAAGTGGTTGCTGGGAATTGAACTCAGGACCTCTGGAAGAACAGTCAGTGCTCTTAACCTCTGAGCCATCTCTCCAGTCCCCGAGAGCAAGTGCTCTTAACTGATTAACCATCTCTGTGGCGCCACCCTTTTTTAAAATTAAATTACATGTGTGTATGTGTGCGTGCAGTGCCCAGGAGATCAGAAGAGGCTGTTGGATCTTCTGGAGCTGAGATTACAGGTGCTGTGAGTTCCTGATATGGATGCTAGGAACTGAACTCCAGTCCTCCAGATGAGCAGAAAGCAATAAGTCAACTCCTCTGGGATCCCCCTTTTTCCCTTTTTGAATTTTCAAGACAAGGTTTCTCTCTGCATAACATCCCTGGCTGTCCTGGCCTCAAACTCCCAAGATCTGCCTGGTCTGCCTCCTGAGTGCTGGGATTTAAGGTATGTACCACTACCTGACCCTCTTTTTCTTATTTAAACAAGGTCGCATGTGGCCTCTAATTCCTGATGTTATAACTCCTAATCATCTTGTCTCTACCTCCTAAGTACTAGGATTACATCTATGCCTTACTTATCACACCCAGCTATAGAGTGGCTTTTCTTTAAAGGAATTGTTTTTCTTTTAATACCATTTTTGTCTGGAGGTCAGAGAGTAGCTTTGTAATTACCAGTTCTCTCCTTCCACCATGTGGGTCTAAGGCAGGAGCTGCGAATCCAACTCAAGTCTTCAAGTTTGATGGCGAGAGCTTTTACCCATGGAACCACCTCACCAGGCAGGCCTACAGTGACTTTTCTAACAATCACCCATGCCTTTCCATCCAAGATGACAGTTCTGGGCCTCTGCTTGCTGCACTTCAGCAGCAAGACCTAGCTCAACAAGCTGATACTGATAAAAGAAACTCCACCACTTGTAAGACACCACAAAATGTCACTGTAACAATGTCCCTCCTCAGAGGCACCAAGCTGCTCTTTGTGAACTTCCTCTTTTTAAGGCAGCCCCGAGTGTTTGTATCATCACTGTTATGATGCTATTATTAATAGCCGATGACACGTGTTAGTGAATGTCTTGCACAATACTCAGTTCTTTTATCTCATTTAGCATGACACCCCTGCTGGGTAGCTGCTACCATTACCCTCTTTACACACAAGGAAAATGAAGCTGGGAACAATAATTTTACCACATGTATACAATAAAACAGCATAGACGGGAGATGAAACCCACCCCATTTTGTCTGATCATAGAGCCCACCTTTAATTTTATATTATTCTGTCTCTAAGAACACCTTTAACTAAAATGGTGAAAGGAGCCAAACACAATGGTACATGCCGACTCTCAGGCCTCTTGGTATCTACCTCCAAAGTTGTATGAGAAAGCAGATTCACACTTCGTTACCTCAGCTTTAACAGACCTGGTTTTAAAGAAGTTTCTCGTTCTAACCGAAAGAGATTGCCTCTGTCCTATAACCCCACTTCCTTTCATCATAAATACTGAAAAGGAAGCAGATGAACACACACTACAATATCGCCCTAAATACCTGACAAGACTTCTTAATTGCTCATCTATCTCCAAATATGTCAGGTTTTTTGTTTGTTTTGCTTTGTTGGCATAGTCTTGCTATGCAACCCGGACTGGCCTCAACCTCTGCCCACCTGCTGCATCATCTCCCAGTGCCGAGGTCTCCTCCAGCGCCACACCTGGCCTTCCATCCCTTCTCCTCAAACTACAGCTAGAAACTTTGCAGATTCTATACACTCCTATCCCTATGCTCATCTTACAAAAGAGTTTAAACCCAGCATGTCTCAAAAAAGGAAGTAGGGGTCTATTGTGGGGACTCACACTGTAACCTCAGCACTCAAGAGACAGAGGCAAGCAGCTGTGAGTTTGAAGCCATCAAGGGAACTACCCAGAGAGACCTTGTCTCAAAAAAGAAAAGAAAAAGGAAGGAGGAAGGGAGGGGGAGAAAGGAAGGAAAATTGCCTGTGCAAGATGGCAGGAGACTGAATGTGACACATGGAAGCCTTCCTTCGCCAGCTGTCTCCAAGGTCAATGATAATGATTCATTCTGTGCAAAGATGAACTTAAGTGAATCGAGCCTTTCTTAAAACGGGCTTTAAACAATTTATTCAAACAGGACCAAAGCACAAAAGACCACTCTGGCCACCACTTGTCCTGACAAGTGGAGACACTACCCCCAAACAGGCCTAAGACAAAATGGCAGCAAAGAGTCTCCATCTATTTGACTGGGGACAGAGATGCAGGTATGCAGAGACTAGTTTCTCTCCTGTTGCAATGAGTCAAGCAATCAGACTCCGGCAGCAGATCTCCTCTCAATAAAACTTTCATGCCATAGACCAAGGGTGACCCAATCCAACGGCTGTAGAGACAGGTTTTACATTACCTTTCTCCTCACCCTCATGACCTCACTATTTTCTTCTCATTCCTGACCACATTCTCCTCCACCAGGCCCAGAGACCAGCAGTAACAGAACCCCAAAACGGAACAAGTCTCTCCAAAAGAGAGTCACCACTTAACTAATCAAGTGGTCCGTTTTAATAGGGAACTTTCCCTCCCACCTCCCCCTTCCTTCAAAGGACTGGCGTAAGCAATGGCTTCATTTTCTGTTCCGGGAATCCTGGTACTTCCTAGAGAAAGAAAGCGGATTGGAAGACACAAACTCAGGGCCAGTGACAAGATGCTCCCTCCTCCGGTGAGACCGCCCCCGCTACGCCTGGGGGAGGAAGGCCCCACCTCTCTCCTCCGAGCTAGCTCAGGTCCCCCTCCCCCTTCTCCAGCCTCCACTCCACCCTCTCCCCACCTGCTGCCCTCTTCCCAACCTGCACTTCCCAACACCCCAAAGCAGGGAGCAACCTCCATGAGAAAGAACAGTGCGCAGCGGTGCCCCAGCAGCAGGCCCTGATACTAAACCCCAGTCCCCAAGCCTCACGATGGGTGAGGGAGAATATAACCACAGCAAGGCTTTTCTTTGGTCCCCCCACAGCTCAGGCGGGGGAGACAGAGAGAGGGAGGGTTAAAAAAAAAAAGGCAGCATTCCTCATAGCTCATAGCCCTTTAACAGAAGAAAAAGAGCCAAACAGCCACACCGCCCCCGCATCACCTCCCACCAGTCAACTCGCCTCCCCCTCAACCCCAAGCCTCGCAAGCTCCACCTCTGCAGCCCAGGTCGCCCCCTCCTCGGGCGAGGCGGAGGACAAACCCGCGTGCGCCCCCACCCGCCCCCGCCCCCACCCCGGCTCGGCGTCCTTCAGCTGCGGGGGCAGGAGTGGCGCTGGGGACCCCCGCCCCAGCACCTCGCCAGGCAGTGCTGGCCCGACCGGCAGGGGGGGGCCTCGGGATCCTCGGCTCGCACCCCGACCCAGCCAGCCTCTTCCTTGGCCCGGACCCGCCTTCCCTCTCCAGCTCCGAACCTGTTCCTGCTCCCGGCGCCGCGGCTGCCACCGCCACCTCCGCCCCCGCAGGTTCCGCTTGGCTCTCGGGCCGCTGCCTCCTGCTCCCCGAGCCGACCGTGGCGGCAACGCTGGTCCGCTGGCCCGCTCCCCGGCTCCCCTCCTTCCTTCCCTCCACCTAGCACCGGAAGCCGCGACGGCGACAGGAGATGTGCGGCGAGCCCCCACCCCCAGTTCGGGATACTTCCCACCTCCACGATCGCGCGAGAAGTGCGCGGTAGCGAGCGGCAGTTCTCGCGAGACCTATCACCATGGCAGCAGCTGCAGCAAAAAGCGGTCGGGTGCTGAAGCAGAGCCTGGTGTGGGGGCTGAAAGAGGCTGAGTGTGGAGATGCGGCTGTTGTGTGGGGACCCAGGTGAGGCTCCCGAGCTCCGGGGCCTGGCCTAGAATTGAGGGCTGAGACCATATTTGGGCTGCGCTGGAAGCTGGACCTGAACAAGGGAGTGTCTGGGGGTTCTCAGGCAGAGCCTGCAGTGGAGTACAGTTCCGAAAACCTTTATTGACACCTGCCCCTACTCCAGTCTGTATGTTAGTAAACACGCAGCACCCTACCTGCTGCTGCTGCTCACAGATCCCTAAGGATGGTTTCTCTGGGATCTGAATCAAGAGAGCGTTTCTCATACTGGAAGAGGGGAGAGAATGATGCCTTTGAGATACTAGAGGAAACATCTAGAATCTGGGTCGTCTAGGAGGTTGAAAGGGCAGAAATGTAATTACCCAGAAGTGGGTCTGATGAAGTCTCTGGATGAGTACCCTAGGAAAGAGCACCAATGTTCTTTCCTTCCTTTACACCCACTTTTCTTTAAAACGTGATGGAGACACTGCTTGAGACTAGCTAGAAGCTATATTAGAAGCTGCACCTAGAGAGGCCCTCACTAGTAAAACTGAACACCACATTCTTTAAATGCATGTCGTATAAGGGAACACAGCTTTTCCCTAGAGCTTGACCCAAAATCATTGCTCTTATCTTCTTCCAAGAAATAAGCTGGCCAAGTGATGGCCCCAGCACTCAGGAGGCAGAGGCAAATGGATCTCTGTGAGTTCGAGGCCAGCCTGGTCTACAGAAAGAGATCTAGGACAGCAAAAACTACACAGAGAAATGCTGTCTCAAAACAAACACACACACACACACAGAGGAAAAAACAAACTAAGAGAGTCATTGCAAGAAGAGGGAACCTCCATTAAGAAAATGACTCCATCAGACTTGCCTATGGGCAAACATGTGGACTACTTTCTTTGATCTGAGGGGGCCTTGCTTGCTCACTGTGAGAGGAACCACCCGAGCAGGTGGTTCTGAGCTGTCTGAGAAATCAGGCTGAGCAAGCCATGGGGAGCAAGCCTATGGGCACCCCTCCTTCACGGCCTCTACTTTAGTTCCTGCCTCCAGGTTCCCACCCTGAGTCCCTGCCAGATTCAGTGATGGAATCTGCAGTCTGTGAAACGAAATCAACCCTTTCCTCCTCTAGGTGCTTTTGGGCATAGTATTTTGTAACAGCAAAATAAACCCTAACCAAGACAGAAACGGACGATAAGAGTGAGATAATTGCTGTCACAGACCTGACCATGTGTTTTGGGGGAGGATTGTGGTGGCATTTGAACTCCGGGCTGGAAAAGCCATTGCTCACTAAGAGCTTAGTGGGCTGTTGCGGGAACTTAACAGATAATGCTGAAAGCAGTGCAGACAAAGGAGGCTTGTGAACTTACAGGGAGAAGATTGAGAGTCCCTTAAAGATTTTATGCTTGATATTTTTAATTAAGAACCAGTGGTGGTGCCTGCCTTTAATCCCAGCACTTGGGAGGTAAGACAAGCAGATCTCTGAGTTTGAGGCCAGCCTGGTCTACGGAGTGAGTTCCAGGACAGCAAGGGCTACACAGAGAGACCCTGTCTTACGGAGAAGAGGGGAACAGCATCACTAAGTTGAAATCTACTAGTAAGTGTTTTCTCAAGGTCAACAGGAATCTGAGGCCCAGGGGGCTAAGACTGTACCTCACACTGTTAGCTGGATTTGGTAACATGTGAGACTCTCCGGTCGGTACTGGTCTTGAAGACGGAAAGGAGTCATAGAGAGTAGCTAAGTCTTGGCGTCTTGGCATTGTGAGAGGTCATCGGTGAAGGTTTAACCTTCACTGCAGAAGAAGCCCCAGGATTGAAGGACTCATTGAAGTTGAGGCTTGGCACCATGTGGCAGGATTAGAGAGTCCCTAAAAAAAGTCCAAGAAAAGCTGTGGGTGAAGCCCCATTGCAGCAGAGACCTCAACATTTTGGAGGTGCCAGTACCATGGGACAACTTCCAAGGACAGAGTAACAGGGAAATGGAGCTAGTCTGAGTCCAGGAGACAAGCCAGCAAAGTTGGAGAAATGGAGCTCCTTGGGGCCCAGAGAGTGGGGTCCTAGTCATCAAGCACTGAACTCTCTACAGTGTTGGACTTTGGTTTTGCATTGATCTGTTTGTAATTGCCCTGGTTTTTCCTTTTTGAAGTATACAAAAGTATGTAACTCAGAGACTTCAGAGTTTTCCAGAGATTTGGGGTACTTAACTTTAAAAGAGACTTTGAACAGTTTCTTTTTTTTTTGGTTTTTTTTTTTTTTTGGTTTTTTTTTTTTTTGGTTTTTCGAGACAGGGTTTCTCTGTGGCTTTGGAGGCTGTCCTGGAACTCGCTCTGTAGACCAGGCTGGCCTCGAACTCACAGAGATCCCCCTGCCTCTGCCTCCCGAGTGCTGGGATTAAAGGCGTGCGCCACCAACGCCCGGCGAGACTTTGAACAGTTTTAAAGATACTGGATTTTTAAAAAATGTTTGAATTTTTAACAAGTGTGGAAAATTACATTAGAATGTTTTATATTGTTACATTAATATTAACATGCCATATTAGAGGCAACTGAGGAAGGAAAGCTTCTAGTTGAGTATTGTATTTATGTGTCAGATTGACAAGGGTACAGTACATTGATACTAACATGCCATATGGGGGCAAGTGAGAAAGGAAAGGTTCTAGTTGGATAAAGTATTTATGTGTCAAGTTGACAAAGGGTCAGTTGTACTAGCTAGTTTGATGTCAACTTTATACACAATACAATCCTTTGGAAGAGGGAACCACATTTGAGAAGATGCCCCCATCAGATTGGCCTGTGGGCAAGCCTGCAGGACACTTCTCTTGATTGATGATTGATGTAGGAGAGCCCAGATCACTGTGGGCAGTGCCACCCCTGAATTACATAAGAAAGGTAAGGGCTGGAGAGATGATTAGGAGGTTAAGGGCACTGTCTGCTTGAGGACCCACATTGGATTCCCAGCACCCACACAGTGGTTAACAACCGTCTGTAACTCCAGTCCCAGGGAATCCCATGACCTCTTCTGGACTCAAGGGTCACTTGTACGCATGCGGTACAGAGACATATATGTTTAGCTCAGTGGTACAGTGCTTGCCTACAAGGGCAAGGCCTGAGTTTGGTCCTCAACTGGGGTGGGGAGCAGAGAGAAAATGACATGTAGGCAAAACACTCGTAATCATAAAAATAGGCTAAAATTAAGAAGGCAGCTGAGTCACCCATGGTGACTCTAATCCAGGTCCTCAGGAGACCAGCCTGGTCAACATAGCAAGTTCTAGGACAGCCAGGGCTCCATAGAAGAGACCCTGTCTCAAAAAAGAAAGAAAAGAAAAGAAAGCAGGCTGAGGGACCAGAGAGATGGCTCGATGGTTTTCCAGAGAACTTAGGTTCAACTCCCAGCCCCCACATGACAGCTCACAACTGTCTATAAATTCAGTTACATGGGTATCTGACACTCTCACACTACTGCACATAAAAAAGTAAAATAAATTATTAAAAGTTTTTGTTTGTGTTTTGTTTTGTGTGTGTGTGTGTGTTTTGTTTTTCGAGACATGGTTTCTCTGTATTGTTTTGGAGTCTGTCCTGGAACTCGCAGGCTGGCCTGGAACTCATAGAGATCTGCCTGCCTCTGCCTCCCGAGTGCTGGGATTAAAGGCGTGCACCACCAACACCCAGCTAAAAGTTTTTTAGTTAAAAAAATAAGTAAAAGTGGGCTATGGAAGTCTGGAGAACAAGCCATTCAGCAGTACTCTTCCATGGCCTCTGTTTCAGCTCCTGCCCTGCGCTCCTGCTCTGAGCTCCTGCTCTGCCTTCCCTCAGTGAGGACTGTATAATCCTTTCTGCCTCTGGTTGCTTTTGGTCCTGGTGTTTATCACAGCAATAAAACCCCTAAGATAGCTGCACACTCGTATGGTGGGTCCTGTGACATACCTTTATGTGACTATTACCCTTTCAATTTCTTTCCTAAAACTTTCTAATCACACTCCACCAGACTGCATATCCCACACTCACTATCAAAAATATACTTTATGGCTGGGCGGTGGTGGCGCACGCCTTTAATCCCAGCACTCGGGAGGCAGAGGCAGGCAGATCTCTGCGAGTTCGAGGCCAGGCTGGACTGACAGCCTCCAAAAACAGAGAAACCCTGTCTCGTAAAACCAATATATATGTATATATATACTTTATAGCCACTCACCCCACTCCCCAGTACCCCAACCACACTAGCATGCCTTGTGGAACCCGTTGGTGAAGACTTTAAATCCTTCATGGTGTGTGCCAGAGTGAAAGAAAGATTAAAATGGCTGGTAGCTTCATATGGCTAGGAGGAATTGCTATTGAATTTGGGGGTGATGAATGGGACTGGAGAATCAGATCTGTCTCTCATCCTCCTGGAGTTGGAGGAGAAAGTGCCATTTGTAGCATCAGAGGGGCTTGGCCTTGGTACAAGCAGAGCCGGGAGAAGTGCTACCTTGCTGAAAGCTAGTTGCTGCCTGCCACTCTCCAACTTTCTAGCCTCTTGAGAAAGAGTGGAGCACATTGCTCATCCAGAGCCAAAGGAGCCCCAGCAGCTGACACCGCTCATCAGTCTCTCCTCCCTCTAGCTGCCACTGGAGCCCAGTAAATGCTGAAATTGTAGCCACCAGCTCTGTGGGCTGCCTACTCCCACCCTGTCACTGACCCCAGGCCTGGGCCTCAGCCCAGTGCTTGTGCCAGGAGGGGGTGCTGACAGAATCCAACTGGAATTTGTCAAGGTTGCGGTTTGGGACTTAAGTTTGCCACAGAGTGTGTGATGAAAGAAAAGGAAAGCCAGCAAGGAAAGGAGCCTACAGGACTGCAGAGGAAGGGAACAGGAAAAAGTTAAAATGCTCCGGCCACAACCCCATTGGAGAGGGAGTGCTTCCTCCTGAAGGTAAGGCACCCTCATTCTGGATACTCCCTGTTATTCTCAGTCTATCCAAGCCCATTCTCACTTCAGTCCCCTCTCTCTCTCCTTTCCTCCTCTCCTCATCCACACATTGGGTTAGCAAGTGTCTGACATCTGTTGCCATGGAGCTGAGAAGATGGTTCAGCAGAGAACCCACGTCAGGCAGCTCACATGGCCCTAAAACTCCAGTTCCAGCAGTTTCAGGACTCTCTGTGGATATACGTACGTGCACTTAAATGTATTGTTTTAGATTTTTTTTCTTGTGTGTATGAGTGTTTCGCCTACATGTGTGGCTGTGTACCATGTATGTGCCTAGTGTCTGTGGAGATTAGAATAGGGTGTTGAATTCCTTAGAACTGCAGTTACAGACAGTTGGGAGCTGCCATGTGGTAGCTGGGAGTCAAACCCAGATCCTCTGCAAGAGCAAGAAGTACTCTTAATCATGAAGCCATCTCTCAGACTCTTCCACAGAGAACTCACAGAGATCTGTCTGCCCTCTGCCTCCTGAGTTGGAATTAAAGGCATATACCATCACACCTGGCCAAACACACACACACACACACACACACACACACACACACAGTTTGTTTGTTTGTTTGTTTTTTGGTTTTTTTCGAGACAGGGTTTCTCTGTGGCTTTGGAGGCTGTCCTGGCACTCGCTCTGTAGACCAGGCTGGCCTCGAACTCACAGAGATCCCCCTGCCTCTGCCTCCCGAGTGCTGGGATTAAAGGCGTGCGCCACCAACGCCCGGCTCTCACACACACACAGTTTTAAAGTCACCATAGAGTACTACCCTGATCCAATACTTCTTAAACTCCCCTGGCTCCCCCAGTGCTGTCTCACCTGACTTCAGGGAAATGTGAGCAGCGGATATATCTATTGCTTGGAGAAGTGTAAAGAATTATTGCTACATTCCCCGGAAGCATCTTGGTGTTTTTTAATATTTATTTTTATTTTATTTTCTATTATTAATTTTTTAATGTAAGTCAGAAACAAGCTTGCTTCACATGTCAATCCCAGCTCCCTCTCCCTCCCCTCCTCCCTGCCCCCTTATTTTTACTTTCTATATGAGTGTTTTGCCAACATGTATGCCAGCCATGGGTGTGCAGGAGCCTGCAGAGGCTAGACAAGGGCACCAGATCACCCGGACTGGAGTTACAGATAGCTATGAGCCACCATGTGGGTGTTGGGAACCGAATCCATGTCCTTTGCAAGAGCAGCAGGTGCTGTCTCTACCTCCCTGGGAGCATCCTATGCCCCCCTAAATATGCAGGTATTCTGAAAGTGTGCTGCAGATCCTTTGTCCACTCTGTATCTTTTTAAAAAAAGTATTTATTCTTTTTGTTGTTGTTTGTTATGTTTTGGTTTTGGTTTTTCAACACAGGGGTTTCTCTGTGTAGCCTTGGCTGTCCTGGAACTCACTCTGTAGACCAGGCTGGCCTCGAACACACAGAGATCCGCCTGCCTCTGCCTCTCGGGTGCTCGGCTTAAAAGCATGCAACACTGCTGGGTAGTGGTGGCACATGTCTTTAATTACAGCACTCTGTGAGGCCAACCTGGTCTACAGAGAGAATTCCAGGACAACCTCCAAAACTACATAGAGAAACCCTGTCTCGAAGAAGAAGAAGAAGAAAAAATGCGCCACCACCTGGCTGAGGTTTATTTATCCTTACTTTATGTGCATTGGTGTTTTGCCTGCACATATGTCTGTGTGATGGTATCAGAAGCCCTGGAACTGGGGTTACAGTCAGTTGTGAGCTGGCGCGTGGGCGTTGGGAATTGAACCAGTGTCCTCTGCTAAAGCAGGCAGTGCTCTCAACTGTTGACCCATCTCTGCAACCACCCCTACCCCATCCCCACATTGCATCTTAAAAGGTTTCTTTTCAGTTACAGAGAAATTTGAGAGCCCCTTAAAGATTCTATGTCTGATTATTTTTAATCGAGAACCATTAAAGTAGCCTGTGGTGGTTCCTGCCTTTAATCCCAGCACTTGGGAGGCAGAGGCAGGAGGATCTCTGTGAATTCAAGGCCAGCCTGGTCTACAGAGCTAGTTCCAGGACAGCCAGGGTTACACAAAGAAACTGTCTTGAAAAACAAAACAAATTTTTCTTTTAAAAAATGTTGGGCTAGGAATTGGAGATGTTGGAGAAGAAATTCTGTTCTTTCTAGGTATATCTGAAAAGATAAGGGAGGGACCAGCAAGAGGGTCCAGCAGGTAAGGGTGCTTGCCACTCAGCCTGAAGACCTAAATTCAGTCCCTGGAACCCACGTGGTAAAAGGAGAGAGCTGGCTTCTGTAAATTGACCTGTGACTTCCACATGGGTGCACGCTATGCCTGCATCCACTGACATGTGCACTCACACGCATGCTCGTGCACACACCCACAAATAAATGTAGAAAAAATGTAAAAGATGGAGGAATTATTTTACTTGGATTAAATACAAAAGAACAATGAATAAAGAACAAAATATATATGCAAACAATTCAATGGCAGAGAATGTTATTTTTACTAGGAAAATCTCATTTTAGTTGGGTCTGACAGCGCCCACCTGGAATCCCAGAACTCAGGAGAATGAAGACTGCCTACATAAATAGTTTGCATCTGAGAAAGGAATCCCTTTCCTGTTTTCCCATCAGTCTTGCATGTACCCCCAGATTCTCTGGATTGGACTTAGAGACAACGGTGCGTACTCTTCCAAATACACACTCATTGTTTTTGTTTGTTTGTTTTTTGTTTTTTTTTTTCGAGACAGGGTTTCTCTGTGGCTTTGGAGGCTGTCCTGGAACTCACTCTGTAGACCAGGCTGGCCTCAAACTCACAGAGATCCGCCTGCCTCTGCCTCCCGAGTGCTGGGATTAAAGGTGTGCGCCACCAACCCCGGCTGTACACACTCATTGTTAAGTGGCATTTAAGAACTTGAAACTCCCAGAGCAGATGTGGCCTTTTATAGGAGAGGGATCAACAAGCGACAGTCAAAGGAGTAGTCTTTCTCCTGCATACCACTTTTGTGACTGGGTTGAACACAGCTATACCCATCCAATTACGTGTGGTCTGTGTCTGCTTTTGTCCATCCCCTGCCCATAACTATTTTGGGTCTATAACAGCAGAATTGAGTAATTATGGTAGAGATGAGTAGATGACATAAAGACCACAATATAAATAGCCTCGTATATTTACCAACTAGCCCTTTTCAGGGGGAAAAAGTTGCCAGCCTTTTTTCTAAGTAATGATGAAGGTGATACCCAGAGTTGAGAACTCTGGGTGAGCAGGGCCTATGAACATTTGGATCTATGCATCCTCCCACCCAGAAGCCCATCCTGGTCTTACAGACTAAACTTCTGAACTCAGTCACTGAGCATCATTTCAAGCCCTTTGTGGAAGTCAGCAGGATATACATAAAAAGTCACAGAGTACAGGAGTGTTGGTTTCACATAGGAAAAAACAAAAACCAAAACCAAACCACAGGTTGCTACCTCAAGGGTGGCTAGACATATCACCATCTGCATCCACCAGCAACCAGTCCAGTAAGTTAATTTATTTTGGTTTCAAACAGGAACCAAGACCATGTCTCAGTACAATAAATTATCCATTCCCACCCTTCCTGCTGAAGAAGAGAGAAGAGCCTCCAGGGGTCATAGCTAAAACCTTTCCATTGGAAGGACCCTTTCAACAACAGAATGAAAGAAGAACAATTCCCTAAGAGCTGACAAGACAGCTGTCTGAGGACTCCAGTGACAGTCCCCACTGAGCTCTGTCCTTTCCAACTGAAAACCTCTCTTTATTGTCACCCATGGCCCCACAGGAAGACGTTCTGGGTTGTCATGGAAGAAGAGATGGTCTCTTTCTACATACAGATCTTAGTAACTCTACACAATGCCTGGTGGCATCTTTCAAGGAAGACGGTGGCAAAATGATGGCCTCCCTATCTAAAGAAGTATAAATCTGGGCCGGGGACCCCGGGGGTTGAGACGAGGGGAACAATACAGTGCATTCAATCCTAGTCCATTTGGGTGTTTAAGAACAGAATATGATGACTACTTTCCTCACAAAAGGCTGCTCATCACAGATTTCACCTGACCCTACTCCCCCCAAAGCTGTTTCCAGGAAGATAGTTTGAGCTTCCAGGGGCCATGATTAACCCTGGGCAGAAATCAGAGCCAAGGGCTGAAAAGGAGCACCCATCACACAGTGTTCTTCCCTAGTCCCAAGGTGAGGCTCACCTTCACTTACACACATTGACCCATTCTGTGACTTTGCATTCGTCACACAGCACGTAGCAGCACCAGTGGAAACGGCAGTGGCAGCGCTCCACTCGTGTCTGTCGGAGCACATTGTGCCCACGGCCACAGCACAGGCTGCCACAGCCATCCAGCAGGCGGCTGGTCTTGTTGCAAGCCCGGCCTCTTGTGCCCGGTGAGCCCACCGTAGGGTCTCGCTCACAGAAATCAGGAGACTTCTCGAAGTAGACCAGCTCTCCTGAGAGGCGACGGGGACGTAGGCGGGGCTGGAAGGCTCCAGAATTGCGGTTGTGTGTATCGATGAAGATGGCTCTGCCCAACCGCTCCCTCAATGCTGCCCCGATGGCCCGAAACTCTGGGGCTGCCCTCCAACAAGTCTTGAACTGGCAGCTGCCAGACGTGCCATGGCACTTGCATTTCCGCTTCAGGTTTTCAGTTACCACCTAGAACATCAGAGCAGCATGAAAAGGAGGAATGGGGGGGCACAAATAACACAGGAGAAGGAAGGGAACCAAACTCAAGGGACAAGAAGACTGTCAGGAAAGTTAGCCACCAGCCCCATGGCCTCCTTTTGTGAAGGTAGAGCCACCAGGATGTACTCATCTTAGATCACTAGCTGCTGATAACTCCCAGATTCTAAAGTGCAGTCCAGTGATTTTTCTAGAGTAAACACTGATAAAATAGGATGTAGGCCAGAGGGCCCCTAAAGTCTGTGGGGGAAGGTAGCTGTTGGAACAGTTTCTATGCAATGAGCTGAGTATTAGGCACATATAGAATATACTATATGTGGGGCTGGAAATATGGCTCCATCATTGAGAGCACTGACTGCTCTTCCAGAAAACTAGAGTTAAACTCCCAGCAACCTCACGGGGACTCAACCGTCTCTAACTCCACTTCCAAGGAATCCAGTACCCTGTCTATGTGGTGCACAGACCCATACACACAGGCAAAACAACCTTGCACATTAAATTTTTTTAAATGATAGAATAAGACACTATGCGCTAGCTCAGCCTTTTTTTTTGTTTTGTTTTGTTTTTTTGTTTTTATGAGACAGGGTTTCTCTGTATTGTTTTGGAGGCTATTGGTCCAGCCCGGCCTCGAACTCACAGAGATCCGACTGCCTCTGCCTCCCGAGTTCTGGGATTAAAGGCATGCACCACCACCGCCTGGCTAGCTCAGCCTTAATATATGGAAAGTGCCATCAGGCAGCTTTCTAGAGACTCTAAACATGTTTTTTGGATGACTTGCTAGTGACAAGCTTGTAACACTCATCATACCTCATCCTATTACTCTGTGGGGCCTCTCAGGAGGGTGGGGGAAGAGAGAAAGCAAGACAGACAGACAGAGAGAGAGAGAGAGAGAGAGAGAGAGAGAGACTGAGAAAAGTTAAGCCTGGTGACCACACCTACAATCACAGCACTAAGACTAAGGCAGATTCCAAATTTGAGGCAAGTCTGTACCACATAGCAGGACCCCTGTCTTAAAACAAAACAGTGAGGGAGACCCAGGACATGATGGAGACACATACCTGGCGCCCCACCCTGTTGTTATGGATTCTCATTCTTGCCTGGATATCCCTGGGAGCTTCTCTGGAATCCAAGAAATCCCGAGAGAACTTCTCTCCAAAGTCCATGTCGTGGTTACAGCCACCCCATTCCCACGTGTCCTGGGGGCCAGGGCTGGAGCCTGGGCTGGGCTGTGAGTGTGGAAAACTCTTGCCCCGAGACAGTGCCTGAAGCTGCAGCAACTTGGCCCTGAGCCGGTCCTGTTCACCACTGCCCTTCCAGCCGCAGCCACAGCTCACCAGCTTCCCCAAGCTACAGGCTGTAGCAACAGCATGCATGACTCCAGCAGCCAGCATGGAGAATGAGAAAGCACTCTCTCGGAAACCTGGGGAGGAAATGGATGTGAGGTAAGGTTGACAGGCAGCTGAGGGAGGAAAGCAGGTGGGGGGGAAAAACAGCCACCCTCCAATATCAATATCTATGTCTATAGCTATATATATATAATATATACATATTATATATATAGAGAGAGATCTATGTAGATATAGGTATAGATATTTGAAATAGGGTCTTGCCATGTAACCCAAGTTGACCTTGAACTCTTGACAAAACCTCCTGCCTCAGCCTCCTAAGTGCTGGGATTACAGATGTGAGCCCACCACCTTGCCTAGCCAATGTCAGAAATTTCTAACTGAATCCTGACTCCATCATTTACCAGCTGAGTGATTTGGGACAATGTCCTGAGACAAGAAATAGCACCAGGTCTCATTTCTTTGCTAAGCTCCTTGCAGGGTTGGGGAAATTCTTAGGCCTTTAGATGTTGAACTCCTGAAACACACTTTTTTTTTTGGTTTTATGAGACAGGGTTTCTCTGTATTGTTTTGGAGGCTGTCAGTCCAGCCTGGCCTTGAACTCACAGAGATCTGACTGCCTCTGCCTCCCGAGTGCTGGGATTAAAGGCATGCGCCACTACCAGCCGGCTGAATCACACTTTTAAAAGTCCTCAGGACTCCCTCTGACTCACTGGAATCCTAGAGGTCTCTCTAGGCCAACGTTATAAGAGACCCATGGGGTCAAGGTATTGCTAAAGCCAAACCTCCTCTGCAGTCTGTCATTTTGGGGTGTGGGTGTAAGAGAGAGCCTAGAGCTGTGATTCCCAATCATCACAATGCTGAGACCCTTTACCACAGTTCCCCCAACCATAAAATTACTTCACTGCTACTTCCTATCTGCAATTGTGCCACTGTATGAGTCATGATGTAAATATCTGATATGGGACCCCTGTGAAAGAGCCTTTCATGCCCCTGTAGGATCACGACCCACAGGTTGAGAAACATTGGCCTAGAGAGACCTCTAGGATTCCAGTGAGTCAGAGGGAGTCCTGAGGACTTTTGAAAGTGTGTTCCAGGAGTTCAACATCTAAAGGCCTAAGAATTTCCCAACCCTGCAAGGAGCTTAGCAAGAGGTGGGGTGTGGAGGGGGCCTTTGGTTTTAGGATTCTCCCCACACATACTTTATTCAACGGGTCCTTTAAGCAAGTTACCATGTACTACCATAGTAACAATCCTAACACTCCGGAACTGCCCATCCCCTTCCCAGGTCCTAGTTTTATATTTGCCCTTCAAGATTTCCCTTTATGTTTGTTCTAACCTGCTATTACCTTATAAAACACTGGGAGGAGGAGAAAGGACACAGGGATTTTCCCCAAGGCCCTTTTAAAAGGTTGGCCTCTTCATTATGTTTTGGGGGTCACCAAGGAGGAGGCTCTGGTATGACAAATCTTTCCCAGGCTTGGAGGGACATCCTCGCCATTTATGTGTCAAAACCTTCCACTACAGCAGGCCTGCAGAGAAGGAGGGGTCCCTCTCTCTGCTTTAAGCAAGGGCTCTTTGGAGTGCTGAGAAGATGAAAGACAGTTGGAGACCAGGCCCTCTTACCAGGGAATCTAGGGCTCCTGGGCCAGCCTCGAGATCCCCCAACCATCCGAAGGTGAGGCTGTTTGTACACGTCTTGGGAATTCCCCTGCAGATGGCAGCTGCCTATTAACCCTGTAGTTCCCAAAGCACTACCCTACCCTGGACTGAGCCCCCTGGATCTTTACTCCTGGGGGAGTAAACTTCAGCTGGGAGAGACGGCAGAGCCTCCCAGACCTTTCCTTCTAGATCAGGCCAGCAGTGACCTGTTCTCTGCCCCTCCAGCCATTCCTCACCTGTTCAGGTGAGGGACACCTGGGGCCCCCACAGCACAGAGGAGGGGGCTGCTCCCCAGCTTCAAAGCCACCAGGGTCTTTGTTCCCAGCTTTGGCTCCTGGGAACCCCAGCAATTAGGGGAGCAGGTTTAACCCTTAAACGGTTGGGGGCGTCACCCCACCTCCGCTGAGACTCTGGGGACACCAGCCTGGGCTTGTCTGGGTGGAGAAGGAGGGGAGAGAAAATAGGGGGCAGAGGGTGTGTTTGAAGCTTCTTGGGTTGGGGGCATCTCTTGTTCACAGGTGCATCCCAGATCGTGCTGGGTGGAGGCAGAAAAGGGAGGCCCTAGGGTAGGGGAGCAGGAACCCAGCTGCCTCGCCAGCAACGCAGGTGGAAGGCAGGCGGGCAGGTGGGCAGAGGCCCAGACGGGTGACCAGCTGAGCGCAGCTCCTGGGGAAATTCCCGGCGAGGCCCCTCCCGCAGCCGCGAACCGGTCCCTTCCCGCCTCCGCGCGCCTCAGCCTGCCCCCAACCCTTGGGCGGCAGCACAGCCAGCCGCCCCGTCAGGCTCACCGCGCTTGAGGATGGCGCTGTGGTGCGGCAGCCGGCCGCCGCCCTCCAGGGCCGAGCAGTTCCAACGCTGGTCGCGCAGCTGGTGCTGACACTCGTGAACCGCGATGTGCAGCCCTTGCAGCGCGGACGCCGTCACGTCGGGGCTGCGTAGGCACAGGCCCAGTTGCCGCTTACTCAAGCCCGACAGGGTCAAGCACACGGTGTTGGCCGTCAGCGGCGGCTCCCCGGGAAGTTTCAGGCCCAGGATCTCATTGCTCAGAGCCCTGGGAACAAGGGACAGGGCGTCTAAGGGTCTGTGGTCTAGTCGCACGCCCTCCAGCTACCCTCTAGCCCAGGTCCGTGCCTTTTCACCCAAACTGGAAAAAAATGCTCACCGAGTGAACAAAGCAAAGAACAGGAGACCCGCGAGGCCCAAGGGCGGAGGCCGAGACCCGGGCTCCTCCAGCATGTCGAAGCCCGGAGGCTCCGGTGGGCGAATCAGTCAGCGCCTGCAGGACAAGGGGTATCTGATGAAGAATAGAATGGCTCCCTGGAGCCGAGGGATGATCTATTTCAGTTCCCTAAGCCACCAATGTGGCCCCGCTGACTTTCCTCACCCCTCCGCAGTGTCTGGGTTCTGGAACCCTTCAAAGAGGAAGGATCCAAGCAGCACAGGGCCCTCCGGAGCGTCCCTGGAGTCCAACCCATCAGACAGAACTGGGACACTCACATGCGGACTTGAGACAGCTCCTCTCAGACCCTCGGTCCCTCCTCACCAACTGTTCCCTCCTTGAGGGCCCCACGACTCATTTACCCGCCCTTACAGTGTGAGAGGGAGGGACCAGAAGGGGGTTCCCCACCACCTGGAGGGGTGTCGCCTGCTCATGCTGGCAATACCAGGCGAGCTAGGTTACAAGAGCTCTGACCCACTCTGACCTCCACTCCCAACAGGGGAAGAGGTCAAGGTGCAGCAAAGGCGACTAGGGAAACCAGGTACCCTCCGCAAACGCGGGGGGGGGTCTCTAACTAAGCCCACCTCCCCATCCACCCCTTTCCCAACTACACGTTCCCACTGCAGAGCACCACCCATCTGGTCCCCACGGGTTCCACCCCAATCCCTACCCCTTGGCTGGCACCCATTGCCCTCTAAGTCCGAAGGCACCCCTTTATTCTGTAGGTACCTTTAGCGATATCTCTGGCTTTCTTGGCATGTTTTGTGCTCTTGAGGGTGGACGCTTGTCTGTCTGTCTGTCTGTCTGTCTGTCTGTCGGCCCGCGTGCCTGTCTAGTCTCTTCCCACCCTGTTCTCTCGCTCCCCATTACCTCCAGCGGTTCAGGTGCAGGATCCACAACACTCCCGGTTGGGTCACTTGGGCTCGGCTGCTAGTGCGGTTTAAACCGTGGGGAGACTGGGTCGGGTTCGGTCCCCTCGGCAGAGCAGCATTCTTCCAGCGCTGGGCCACTCCTCTTCGCCGCTTCTCCAGCGTCGCCGCGGCCGCCCGCCGGGAGGAAGGGAGGGTAGAAGGGAGGGAGTGATCGAGACAGCAAGCGAGCGAACCCGCGACAAAGCACCGGGGGCTTTGGCTCGGCTCGACCTAACTCACGGGTGGTTCTGCTGGAGCTGACGGAGCTGCGGCCCCTCCCAGAGCCCGGGGCATCCCCACCCCACCCGCACCCCACCCCCCTGCCTTGACCAGGGGAACGTAGCCGCTCCCCCCTCCAAAACGTGTACACAGACAGACAGACAGACACACACACACACACACCCTTCCCCCCCCCCCCCCGACGCCCGGGTTCACGATTAGCCCCACTTCAGGGGAAGGTGGCCGGAACTCCTCTCACCTGCTCTGGGGTCGCCAAGGCTGTCTGGAGAGGGCAGTGGCCCTGACTAAAGAGCCAGGACCTGGCCCCAGTGGCAATATCTTTCATCGTTTTTCTTTGCCTCGGTTTGTCCTTCGAGAGTAGGTGATTGGAGAGCCCTTTAACACTCTGAGGACGGACGACCTTCGGGTTTCTGACAGTCTCTGGCAGAGGCCACGAGCCTGTGCACCAGGGCACTGTGAGCCTGCTAGTGAGAAGCCACGGTACCGCTTGGCTCCCGCCCACCTCGGAGCCACAGGCCTGCCCCTTGGGAGGGGTCAGCTTTGGCCTCAGACTTTGGCCTCCTTCAAAAGCTCGGGTAACCCCAAAGATTTCCAGTCTGCCTCTAAGCGTCCCTTCCCTTGTAGGCATTCTCTCCAGGGGTCGTCTAACCGGAACTCCCGAATTAACGCTTGAGATGACCCAAATTCATACTCCATGCTCGCACATTTGCTTCATAAGGGTTGAGGGAGGCCTTGGGATCCCAAATGGAGCCCAACTCCAGGGCAGCCAGAGAGGAACCTAGCCTGGATGTGCGCAGGCCAGGCGGAGGCAGAACCGCCTTACCTCTGGCGGCAGCGAAGGGGTTAGGTGCCACCGCACTCCCGCCTGACTCACCCTCCTAGCTCTAACCACTGCGGACTATTTTTGCCAGAGAGGGGCCTCAGGCTTCCCAACCACCCCCAGCCCCTGCCAGACCGCAGCCCCAAGCACAGTGCGGCTGGCCCTGTGCACCGAAGGCACATCGACTCAGGGACGACTCCCCAGGAAACAGGAGCACAGGGTTGGTACCCACAGCCACAACCACCTCTTCATTGGTGGTGGCAAGCAGCAATGCCGGGCAGGCAGCCCCGTCTGCATTCTTGCCTTGTGCTAGAGGGACACCACTGGCTAGGCGGCTGAACGGAACATGGGAGGTGAGGTCTGCAGGGCTACTCACTGAGTGCTGGGGAGGAGAGGGTGGTAGAAACAGGATGCTAGGCAGCTTGGACCACCCCAGTAGGCACTCTTTCAGATTACACCACCTCTGGAGGAGGGTACGATGATCCAAGACCTCCTGGGCCGCCTTCTCATTTAGGGGAAGAGGGCCAAACCGTGTATACCTTCTGAGGTGGCTTCTGTCCTTACTCCAGAATCCAGGGTCATCACCAGTGTCTCATCCTTCCTCCTGCCTGTCAGCCTGGGACTCACCCAGGCCCCTGGAAGGGTATTTCCGGGGCCCTTTTCTCCATCAGTATCTCGTGGACATTTGTGTTTCTCCACATGGCTGTGGTCCCATTCACACTTTGGATTTTATTTTGTCTTGTTCCTATGCGTCCCCTTTCTGATGCTATCTTTGTCTGGCTCCAGCATTTAGTCAGATGTAACAAAGGATCTAAGGATCTGGGGAGTGGTGTCCACACCTTTAATGCCAGCACGTGGGAAGCAGAGGCAAGTAAGTGGTTCTATGTGAGTTCAAAGTCAGCTTGGGCTACATAGTGAGATCCAGGACAGCCAGGTCTATGTAGAGAGACTCTATCTCAAATAAACAATAATCCTAATGAAGGGGTCAAGGAAGATTAGCAGCCAAGGGCTCAACTCAGTGACCTGGGGGCTCGCTAAATTGGACTGCCCCAAGCCTAAGAGCTCACTCTGCAGTTCTCTCTTCTTTCTCTCTGATAGAAAGGCAGGCAGTGGGTGGCCTGAGCTGGCCCACGGTGCCCTCTTGCCGACCGTCTGGCCTGAGCACTGACCCACAGGCAGCTAGAGGGCGGTGGGACAGGCGGGGCCTGGAGAGGGCTGTGGGTGCACACCCATTGCCTAATACCCCAAGCACGCAGCCAGCTCCAAGAAAGGGGAGGGGCAGGAACCAGAGAGACCTTGACAAGGGTTAGGACCAAGACAAGAGGGGGAAGGAAAGGGGGCTGCCATCACTGCGGGGAGGAGATGGGGGCAACCTGGTCCACCTTCCTTTTGATGAGAAAAGCAGGGGGCTGCTCCTTCCCTCTTGAGGATGCAGAGTGTAGCAAAACCCTGTGGGAAGAACATCGAAGCCCTGAAGGGTGGAGGAGTGTCAAATAAAAGAGTGGGGGCCTCTGGAGATGGAATCAAGCAACTGAGGCGGTGGCTAAAGCCAGGCTACACTCGGGAATCTCCTCCTCCTCCCCCTCCCCTGATGTTTGCCTTGGCTGGGGTCTTGGGTGACTCATCTGTTGCTAAGCCGCTGATAGGGGTGGCCAGCCCAGGGAACCCAAATTATAGGCCCGGGAGGGATGGATGCGCCTGTGGCGGTGAGCTCAACCGTGTTGCCTCCCTCCGCCTCACCGGTCTTCCATTGCAGTACTGAAGGCCACCGTCCAGAGGCGCCAGAGATGTTGCAGACAAACTTGCAGGACTCCAAGGAAACCCCCACCGTCACAGTTAGCCCCAACAAACCTTGTGGAGCACCCTAGGGAATTTTGCCCCCTTTTCTGCTAGAGTCCCGAAGGGCAGTGCCTTTACTACCTGCCTGCCCTTTACCTGCCTGCGCTTCAAAATCGTGCCCTAGAACTCTGAGCCCTGGTCCAGAGCTCTCAGATCCCAAGCTCTAGGAAAAGCTCCCTCCCCCACCCCACCCCTCACCTCTCTCCTGCACCTATTCCAACGGACCTGTTTTGGGTTTCTACTTCAATCCTTTGAAGTCTGCAGTAACCAAAAGGGACAGAGAGCTCCAGGTCACATGTACCTCTAATAGGAAGCTGAGTCAAAAAGATCAAGAATCCGAGGCCAAGGGGCTGAGAGATGAGCAACGAGGAGCCCTTGTTGCCCTTGCAGAAGCCCCAGGTTCAATCCCCAGCACCCACATAGTGGCTCACAACCATTCATAATCCTAGTTCCATGGGATCCAACATGCATGAGTGTGGTTGGTGCATGTACATGCATGCAGGAAAAACATTCATACTATAAAAAATAAGTAGATCTAATAAATCAATTTTAAAACGAGAGAGAATCCGAGGTCAGAGCTAGGAGTGGCAGCCCATGGGTCATGCCTTTAATTTGAACATGGGATAGGCAGAAGCAAATGGATCTCAGTGAGTTCGAGGCTATAAGGCTAGCCTGGTATACATGGTGAATTCTAGGGTAGCCAGGGATACATAGTGAAACCCTGCCTCAAAACAACAATAACAAAACTCTAAGGTATCTAAGGAAGAACGTCCCAAAAGACAGAAAGGTACATGGACCTTGAGAAAGGAGCATGCTTGGTATGTTCAAAGGATCACAAAGGTCAGTGTGGGGGAATAATTCACATGGGGAAAATTGCCTGGATAATAAATTGAAGAATCAGGAAGAAATGGGGTCAGATCCAATGAGGCCTTGTAAGCCACTGTAATAATTTTTAGCTTTTGAATGAAATAAGGAATCATTGGAAAGATTTGATCAGTGAAATTAATTTTCTGTTTGCTTTTTAAACTGTGTGTGTTTGTAGGTGTGTCCTTGGAGGCCAGAGGTGCTGGAGTCACGAGGCAAATGTGAGCAGCCAGAAGTGGGTGCAGGGAGTTGAACTCTGGTCCTTTGCAAGGACAGTATATACTCTTAACCACTGAGCCATCGCTCCAGCCACAACTTCACTTTTAGAATGGATGGTTTTTACTGTGGGGTGGAAGGGAAAAGCATGGAGATTCCTTAGGAAGAGGAGGCAATGGCCCCACCACCACGGAACAGCAGAGGATGAAAAGGGATCAGCTTCTCTGTAAATTTCACAGATGGAGGGTCAGGGTTTGCCAATAGCCTAACACAAAGTGTGAAGCCCATAAGCTAAAAGGTGATTCCAAATTTTAAAATTAAGAGATGTATATAGCCAGATGGTGGTGTACACCTTTAACCCCAGCACTAAGGAGGCAGAGGCAGGCAGATCTCTGAGTTTGAAGCCAGCCTGATCTACAGAGTGAGTTCCAGGACAGCCTGGGCTACACTGAGAAACTCTGTCTCTGCCTCACCCAAAAAGGTATATTGTTACTTTATTCTATGTGTGTGGATCCTTTACCTGTATGTCTGTGCACTGCATGTATGCCTGGTATTAGTATTCAGGCATTTGTACTGGCCTGCCCTTGGGGTTCTGACAGGATGTGCCCTCAGCTGCAGCCACTAAGAGCACCACCTGTGTACACTCACTGTGTTCCCTTTTAAAAGGGCCCTGCCCACCTGTCTTCCTCTCCCTTTCTCTCCCTCTCTTTCTCTTCCACCACTCTTGTTCCCAGGGACTGGTGGTCTCTGCCTTCCTCTCTGCCCCTTTCTCTCTCCTCTTCCAAATAAACCTCCTATGCGAGTCCTGTTGTATGGTGTGACTTTTCTTTGTGGCATTTTTAAAGTTACAACACCCAGTGTCTACAGAAGCCTTGCTCGGTTCCAAGGTTTTTGCCCTGAAGAAGAAGGCCAGGGCTGTCACCTACTGAGCTGGAAATGGCCGAAGAAAGAAAAATTAAGCAATGAAGGGATTAAGAGTTTATTGGTGGACATGTGAATTTCAAGGTGTTAGGTATACATCTAGAATTTATAGCCAAAGTTATAAATTAGGAATCATGGGGGCTAGAGAGATGGCTCAGCAGTTAAGAGCACTGGCTATTCTTCCAGAGGGTCCAGGTTCAACTCCTTCCTAGCACCCACATGGTGCTTATAACCTCTGTAACTCCACTCCCAGGCTATCTAATGACCTCTCTGGGCTCCATGGGCACCAAAAAACACAACTGGTGCACAGACACATCCACACACATTAAATAAATAAATTAGGAAAATAGGTGGGCGTTGGTGG